CCTCATCAAGCTTCTGCCATTTTTATCGCTGCATAGTTTTTATTAAAAATGCATCTGGGTACTTTCTAGGCTATATTAATGCGGCGTCCCCGGACTTCCTGAGGACAAAAGAAGACAAAATACTTAGGCAGAATGTCTATTTACCGCAGAGAAGGTGTCTGAGCTATTGGCATGGCCCAAAGGGCCAGCCCACACAGCGAGGTACATTGGGGCCAATTCAACGCACAAAAGTGGCGCCTCACCAATGCCGAGGGATAAACCACTATCGTATTACATTAAGCCTTGTTTTAACTATACGCATTGTCGCCTAGTTAAACTTGCCTTCAAATCTCTAAAGTTTGAGAAACCACAAATTTGTGAATTTGGAATGATTTTTACGGTCATTTAATTTAAGCACAGGAAGTGTAGTGCGCCAAGACTTCTCAGTAGTCGAAATATGACAAACTTCTTAGGCAACATGCATGTTTCTAACCTACGAAAGGGTCTGAGGCTACCAGCACGGTCTAGGGGCTGGCCCGTTTGGCGAAGGTACATGGGCCAAGACACAAATTGATCCTTTACCAAAAACGGGATTTAAACCAACAATCAAATTATCTCATAGCTCCTCTTCTCTTTTGAGCATCGTCTTTGGTACCTCCTTTGGTCATACTCCCTCGTCAGCCATCACAGCACGATTAATGCTGCGGAGAAACAACCACGCATCAACCATACCTGTTATCAAATTTTCATACAACTGAGAAGATGCATCTTCATGGCAACGTCATAGATCCCTTTTGGCGAATCAACTTGACGAGCTGTTTTGACCTGAATGGCAAATGGAATTAGAGACGAATAATTGTGCTGCCTATAAAGTGTGTCCATAGCTAGACTTAGGAACACCGGTCCAAAAGCCGTGTCATATAAGAGAGGGCTAGTTTTAACAGTTTCATAGGAGCGGGTTTATACGTCAATTTTTCTACCTTGATCTCAACATGAAGCTGCCTAGTCATATCTACCTGGGTGGCATCGCGTGCCCACATTTTTGATATTATCATACAGGCACATCAGTTAACGCAATAACGATGTTCCCATAGATACCTCACGGCTAATGCTGCTTTACTTGCTAATAGCTTTTTTGAAGTCCACAAGACTGAGGTGGATGCCATTCTCTGCCCATCTCTAGCATTGCACACCCTCCACTTTGGAATAAATAATAGGTCGGCAGTAAAAGATACGACTAGTGTTTTTTAAGACCGAGTTTGCTTCCCGTTGCCAACGGTGTAGCTCCCTGAGACTTTTCTGATGGCGAAAGAAGACTAGCAGTGATGCTTGGAGCTACTGGAATGGCCTAGAGGCCAGCCTACTAAACAGAGGTAAAATAGCTGAGTAAGCTATTTTAGCTTAGCTTAGCTCTGAGTAAGCTTTTCACCTAAACTGTGAGGTGAACAAACTCTACTGTATTACCGTCGATTTACTCTATTGTAATACGATGATAATTTATTTCTCAATATTGCCGCTTTTGTACTTTTGAATTAGCCCACTTGTACCTCGTTGGGTATGCTGGCCTTTCGGGCCATGCCAATAGCCTAGACACCTCTGCGCTGAATATATATTCTGCCCGAGTATTGTATATTCTTTCGTCTTCAAGGAAGCCTCGGGACGCTACA